TGTATGCTAGAAACAGCAAAGCCACAAAAGTGAGTGACCTTAGATGGGAGTTATTCAGGGCAAAAAATCTTGAGGCAGAAAAGCTCCCACCAACCCTTGGATCCTTGACACCACACATCCAGAGGGCAAACTTCGTAGCCAGAGTCAACAAGGGATACAAAGTTCCAAAACCAAAGCTGCCCCCTCTAGATGGAAATGGATGGGAGCTTTCCCCAGAAGGAACATTCAGTGCAACCAAGTGTTTAGAGCTTCCTGCGCCGAAGGCAGTCATGGAATTGGTCAAATGCTCATGTCGGAAGGAATGCAAAAGCCATTGCTCTTGCAAGAAGAACCATCTGCCTTGCACAGCCCTATGCAAGTGTTGTGACTGTGAAAATACACAGGACTATGATGTGAATGTGAATAGCCCCGATGTTGACTAGGTGAATATAAAATTGTAGATTATAAGAAATTGTTGTTTCAATGTCGCAACTAAACTCACATCCATAAGATTAGTTGTCATTTTAGACACAGTTGTAAGGAGGTACATTTGGTAGACATTTGGTCTTTGAAATCACAATCGCATGATTTATCAGTCTCAGGTTATGCCATGCATTATATGTCATTATCCAATTCAACATATCGCAATATAAAGCAGGAGTTGACTGCCGTGATTGATTCTAGAATCACATGCCTTCCAAAATGATTGATTTTGCATTTTAAGCGCTCCAATACCCAATATGTGTTACAAATCTGAAATACCATATTATGGCGGCCATTTTGAATTTCAAGATGGCGGCTAATTAGAATGGTCATCATTAAACGAAGCATGTATTTCCTTTTAAAGCATGTATATCATCATAATGATGATCCTATAACAAGTTTTAACCTTTCCATGCACTTCTAACTTGATATTCAAGTTGAAATAGGCTTAACAATGGCGGCCATTTTGAAATTCAAAATGGCGGCTTATCCGGAACAAAGCACAATTTCATGGAAATTTGTATTACTATATCAGACATCAATGCCATGCTTTTTATCCGAAATTTGAACCTTCTATGATGTCTATAATATGAAATAATGCTCAAAATGCAACTATTTATGGCGGCCATTTTGAAATTCAAAATGGCTGCCCAAGACGTGGTCGAAAAAAATGGTACCAAATTTTTTTAGATTCAGCACCCCGAAATTAACAAAGTTAGCCCAAAAAATCAATTTTGGCACGATTATCTCACGGGATTTCATAGTAGCCTCTACTATGTCTTTATCGAAGTGTCACTGTAAGTTTAGAACCACGCCCTGTGCCTACCCGCTCAGGCCACCCTACATTCAGGGGCGTCGCTAAAGGGGGGGGGGGGGTGAGGTTGAAGCCGGTGGGATTTTTTTTTTATGTCGGTCGGCCAGCAATTTTTTTTCCCTTCGAACTGTCACTTTTTATCGGACAAAGAAACATTTTTGAAAATTCAGACAATGATTTAGAGTCGGTACAATGAATCGTCTTCTTTTTCCAATAATTTAATGAAACGTCGAAGCTCCCGCGCTTCGCGTGGGACGGGGAAACTGAATTCAGACAAGGATTGAGAGTCGAGAACGGTACAACAGATCGTCTTCTTTTCATAATAATTTAATACAAAGTCTAAGCTACCGCGCTTCGCGCGGGAGGCCTTTCACCCACCCCTACCCCACCTAGGGAGCGCTTTGCGTGCTCTTTAAGCGATTCGCTTGCTCAATACCGCCCCTCCCTTAAATAAGATCCTACCTACGCGCCTGCATTGAAATATATAGCTATGATGCTTACTAAGTTGACGAAATAATTTGTATATTTATGTCGTCGACGAAAATGACCATTTGCGCATAACAATTTAGCCTTTGGCCTCGGGTTTATAGGGTTACATTTGTAGATATTGGGACATTTAAACTTGTCGATAATTGGTGGCTTGTTTTTTCGGTAATCTTTGGCCTCTATACCCCCCCCCCTCCCCCACTGAAAAGGTCTAGCGACGCCCCTGACGACACATCAGGCCTATACTTGCGTTTTGTGAGAGGCTCAAGTATCCGGGCCAGCTATTTATAGTTGAGTAATTTTTGAAGAAAAACAAACGAGTACTCGCTCTCCAATCGTATTGGTTATTTGGGAATTTCGAATGTCATTAAATATGTTTTTTTCCTTTTAACACAATGATTGTTTTGTGACTCAATTCAGGACTGACTAAATATATTTTTTTTCGTAAGGCAATAGACAAGTAATTTAGTCATATACCTGATTTAACATTTGAAGATTTCCTACACTAATGCCTGGCCGTGCGTAACCCATATTTGAACACTAAGTTGCACCTGAAATTGCAACATGTGCATTATAAGCTTAAAATGCTTTGTTTCATACAAATACACCAAAAAAAATCCCAAAAGCTTGAATGCATACTATTTCACAAGATGTAATTAAAAAATATGAATGATATTAATGATACACTTACATGTACATGCAAATGCATGATCATTTTTTGCGCTTCTTGCTCCCAGCAAGATAGCTTCCTTCTACATTTAATTTTGTTGCTGTTGTGAGTTTATATTCATATTTTTGTTATCAAACAGGAATAAATAAATGAATATATAAATACATTTGTACAATGATAGTTGTACAATGATGATAGAAGAACCAATGAAAATCGTAACTGATCTTCCTTCATTCCTTTTCTTTTCTTCCTCTTTGTTTTCTGTCCCTTTCTCTCCTCTTCCCCGTTCACTTCCCTTCTCCTTCTCTCTCTCTCTCTCTCTCTCTCTCTCTCTCTCTTTGTTGAGGGGGGGGGGGGGTAGGGGTACAAATCGGGACAAATTGCAACTGATCTCCCCTACCTTTCTTCTTCCTCTTCCCCCCCCCCCCCTTTCCCTTCCCTTACCTCGCTCTCTCTCTCATTTAAGTTTGGTGAGGGAGGCAGGGGCCTTTCGCCCCCTCCCCCTCTCCCCGATCAAATCGCAACTGATCTCTGCCTCTTTTCACCCTTTTCTTTTCTTCTTCCTCTTTTGTATTCCATTATGGCTCTCCTCTTTCCCTTTCCATTCTTTCTCTCTTTTTTTTGGCGGGGAGGGGGGGGGGGTGGTGGTTCGGGAGGGGGGGGGGGGGGCAGAGGCAAAGGTCTTTCTTCGCGATCCACATCTTGTTTGCAGGAAAATTGCAACTGATATCCCTTCTTTTCTTTTCTTCTTTTGTTTCTTTCCCTTTCCTTCCTTCTCTCTTGTTTTGCGGGGGGGGGGGGAGGCAACAGCATGGGCGGCAAGGCCCTGTCGGACCCCTTTTTCTTTTCTTCTTTCTTTCCTCTTCTCTCTTCTTTCCCTTTCCCTTCTTTTCCTTCCTTCTCTCTCTCTCTCTCTCTCTCTCTCTCTCTTGTTTGCTGAGGGGCCAGTGGAGGGCAGGCGAAGGCCTTTCGCGCCCGATCCACACCGCTTCGGTGGGAAAAATCACAATTGATCTTCGTACCTTTCTTTTCTTTCCCTTCCCCTTTTCTTCTTTTCTCTCTCTTTTAAATTTGTGGTAGAAGGGGGGGGGGGGGGAGACAAGAGCCATTTGCCCCCCCGATCCCCAACTTGTTGGCGGGTAAACTGCAACTGATATCCCCCTTCTTTTCTTTTCTTCCCTTTGTCTCGTCTTTTCCCGTTTTTCTTTCCCTTCTCTTCCTTCTCTCTTTCTTTTTGCTGGGGCAACAGCCTGGGAGGTAAAGCCCTTTCGCCCCACCCCTCCCGATCTTCTTCTTTTCCCTTTTTCTTCTTCTTCTTCCTTTTCCTTTGTCTCTTCTTTCCCTTTCCCTTAATTTCCTTCCTTCTCTCTCTATCTCTCCCTCTCTCTCTTTTGCTGAGGGGGGGGGGGGGGGGGGGGCGAAGGCCTTTCGCCCCCGATCTCCTATGTTCCCCCTTTTCTTTTCTTCTTCCTCTTCTTCCTTTCCCTTACTCTCCGCTTTACATTCTCTCTCTCTCTCTCTCTCTCTCTCTTCATTTTTTGTTGGCGGTTGGGGGTCAAGGCCCCCCCCCCCCCCCCCCCCCCCCCCCCCCCCCCCCCCCCCCCCTCCGCGCCGGGAAGACCTGTAGTATCATCTGGCAAAGCTGAATATGGGTTATCCAGTCGTTTCATTCATTAAGTATATTTATACTTGTATTAAATATGTATACGTGTGGACTAGAGTACGGACATTCGGTGCGGCAGGCGGACTATTGGTGCGAGACCTCTTCCGCACAGATTGTCCGTCGGACATTTGAGGCGCGCACGGAATGTCCGACACGGACATTCTGCGCGGATAAAATCCGCACCGATCGTCCGCTCTCGATCGATCTCTAATAGGCGGACGATCGGTGCGGGTAACATTCTACGCGGTCACACCGGGCCTTCTCTAAGGAAAAATAACACGACACTGTCTAAAGCCAAAACAACCTAATTTAAATAAAACGAATCATGAAAAGACTACTTCGATCGATGTCGGTTCGATCCATAGAGATATATAACTACTAACATTAAAGGGAAAGTCCACCCCCAAAATAAGTTTGTTTCGATAGAGGCAGAATAATAAGAAAATCAGGTGAGTGAAAGTTTGAGCAAATTCTGAATGAAAATAAGAAAGTTATGAATTATTGAAGTTGTGATCAATCAAATACAAATTGGCAACTCTGTGACTTTTATACGAGCTCTCCTTCATTTGCTTTGTGCATAATATTCCATAAAATCATGTTTTCTTCGTTATTGATGACGGAATATATATTTGTTCCTTGCAGGGGGAGTATAGAAACATATTTGCAATTATTATATTTAGGGTGCATGTATGGTTGAAATTTTTCTTGAGGGAAAATGAAAATTGTATATTTTTTTAGTACTGAGCAAATGGAAGTTGAGCTCGCACATGATACGTCATAGAGTTGCCAATTTGTGTTTGATTGATCACAACTTCAAAAATCCTAACTTCCTTATTTTTAATCGGAATTTGCTCAAACTTTCACTGACTTGTTTCTCTCATTTTCTACTCCTATTAAAACTAACTTAATTTCAGGGTGGACTTCCCCTTTAAGTATATATCTCTATGGTTCGATCCAATGCCAAGCTCTCTTTCCTTCCCAGAATTCCTTAGTCGTCCTTTCTTCCGCTGAAGCCAAGATGAAGTAAGAACACAAATAAATATGCAATGGAAATCTCATTTAATCTATCAATATGAGTAATAAGACATGAAATGGTTATCATTTTACGTTAAATGAGTGTATGTTAATTCCAGAAAATGTTTGTATTTTTCTTTTCAGGGTTGAGCTGTGTAATTTTAGTGGACTCAAAATCCATCCTGGCCATGGCCGTCGATATGCAAGAATCGACGGAAAGGTACGTACGTGGGATATATGTATTAGAAGTAGTATAATCAACGTGATCACTTGTCTAGTTCTATTGCTTGAAACGACATGGAAACAAATCTTTTAAAGTTATGCTGACTTAGAAATGTATATTATCGATGGCTGTTAATGTAGGTTATTTTTTACTAGGGTTGAAAACCCCATAACGTAGTGTAGACCAGTCTGTAGCCTGTAGGTGACAATTTAAATGACGAGCACAACGTTTCTGTCGGCACGATCCCGGCATCTCCCTTCCACAGCCCTCGGCCCGGGGCGGCACGTCCCCTGAGCTGCGTGGCTTGGCCTTGGCTCATTGGCCGTGGACGTTGTCGCCCTGACTCGCCTGTCCACGCTTGCCTTAGCTAGCCAAGGACCAGGTGACGAATGTGAAATATGAAATATGATTGTTTTGTAGGGTCCTAGGGCTAGACTATTTGGGCAATGAAGAAACGTGGCCCTGCCTGAACCGAGTCGAATGACTGATCAGTGAATGATGGAATAAAAAAATGCGTTGACTGTTGCGTGTAATCGCTTCTTCCATCAAGACCTAACTCCGGGAAGCTCCAACACCGGCGCGCAGCGTCGGAGCTTCGGTCAAACTGTCGTGGTGGCTCCGAAAAAAAAAAATGGGGCGACGTTATCGTTAAAATCTGCAAAAGGAGTACTTACAATTTTTACATCATAGGGTGCACGACTTCTCAGGGCATAACAATGATCACTTGAATTTATAATTTGAAGAAGTCTTCGATGGGAAAAAAGGGTTTTTCAGAGCACTACCCAAACGACTATTCCATGTTGCAGCGTCGATTCAAAATGGCGAAGAGACTGTACGCATGCTCGGCAGAGCCGCAGAAAGTATGAATATTCATGCTATCGAGTGCCGATCGCTCGAAATTGCTGAATATGCACGACTCGAACAAACAGAGTCCTTCTCAACCTCGTGCATATTCAGCGATTTCGAGCGATCGGCACTCGATAGCATGAATATTCATACTTTCTGCGGCTCTGCCGCGCATGCGTACAGTCTCTTCGCCATTTTGAATCGACGCTGCAACATGGAATAGTCGTTTGGGTAGTGCTCTGAAAAACCCTTTTTTCCCATCGAAGACTTCTTCAAATTATGAATTCAAGTGATCATTGTTATGCCCTGAGAAGTCGTGCACCCTATGATGTAAAAATTGTAAGTTCTCCCTTTGCAGATTTTAACGATAACGTCGCCCCATTTTTTTTTTTCGAAGCCACCACGACTGTTTGACCGAAGCTCCGACGCTGCGCGCCGGTGTTGGAGCTTCCCGGAGTTAATCAAGACCTAGACCTATGATTATGAAAAGTGTCAGCAGGGGCACTGGTCCGAGAAAAAGGATTGTTCGCTTAAACAAGGATTAACTTTGTAAACCTGCACAATCTGGTCCTAAAAAATAAATATTGTCTGCATTTTGATTTTTCTGGACAATGCTCAGTAGGGGCGCTGGTCAGAGAATAAAGCTCGTCTTCATAAACGAAGATCGTCTTTGTAAACGCGGACCAATGCGCCCTCAATAACAAGGATCGTCTGCATATAAGCAGATGTTCCATATTTTTGATCGGCACATTGGCGACGCAAAAAACTGATTCCGGAATGATTTTATTCATGCATTTTACATCGACTTTGTAGTATTGTACAGAGATCTTCACATTATGAGCAATAACTCCTTGGGAAGACGGGACAACCCATAAACGGTCAACTAGGGTTATTTTCCCCTGGGGAATCCAAATTTGGCATTGCTAGCGGGCAGCTCGGTAACCCGAAACCCGCAGATCGCTGATGAAAAAAAAACGTCAGCGAAAATGCAGACGTTTCTTGTTTATGAGGACGCATTTTGTCTGCGTTTATGAGAATATCCTCGTTTGTGAGGACGATTCTCATTCTCGGACCAGCGCCCCTACTGATGCTGCGATGATGCTCCATGTGATGTAGGGTGTCTGATCACGCACTCAGTTTTGTGTGCTAAAATCGTTTCCATAGAGATTGTACATATCCATATTCAGTCCATATATCGTCGCTGTTTTCACGAAGTGACAGTAGTGAACAAAAATTGCATTCACTTTGCGTTACGATTTTCCTCACTACCGTCACTTCGTGAAAACAAGGACGATATGCATTGCAAAATTGGTCAATGTTTTTATTACCAAAATGATATTCAAACCAATACTGCTCGTGATCCTGAAGGTGATCGAGTTAAGGAGGGGGTTTTCGGCCACTTTAGACAAAATCCTATTTTTTGGACTCTTTTCTTCCTATTTATTATCATTTCTTGTTCAAATCATGAAGCAAATACTAATATTATTTAAACAAAAAAAAGAATCCCAGAAAAAAAATCATGAACTGCCATGACAATACTCATTTCAATTTTCACTGTTTCGAAAACAGTTATCTGCCTAGCGAGACAGTTTTCGGTCGCATGTACAAAGTCAATAGGAAGCGCGCATGTGCACGCTGTGCTTTTCCTCGCAGATCTATAGCACTAGCGGGTGGAGCAGGTATCCTACGCCGGAGCTTGCCATGCCGAAAACTATCTCTGCGGTGAATCGGAATATGGAATCTGAATTAGACAGAGATATCGTGTGTGCGCTGCAGTGTCCGGCTGCATTGATTTACTACATGCAATGAGATACTTTTGAGCTTGCGACTTACACAAAATCGGGCCCTAAATCTGAAAAATACATGAAATAAAGCTCATTTTAAGGTACCCATATTCCCTACAGACACGCGTAAGATACTTGATTTTTTCAGATTCGGGTAGTGGGACCCCGCTAAAATGTGATATTTAAGGATATATCTTCCATTGCAAATGTGGTTCTTGCATGGTATGGTATGTGTCGGAATATGTGTCGGATATGTGATATGCTATTATGTGATTTAGTTTACCGTATTTACCGGCGTAAAGGCCGCACCGCCGCATAGGCCGCACCCCCAACTTTGACATTTCGTAGAGAGAAAAAAAAAACGGACCAAAGAAAATAATCATAATTTTCTCGTAGAACTCTATTATTCCTACAAACTAATACCAAAATTATCAATCATTTTTATAAATTTACAGGAAGTTTACCTAAAAAATTATCGTAATTTAGCAAATCTTCATCGATTTTTAGGCAGATTAGCACATTCATTGGACACTAGAGGGCGCTTTGCATGCATACAGAAACATGAATGGCCTGCCATAACCAAGCTGTGGCCATAATGTTATCCGGTCTTACCCCTATCGTACCGCCAAATGGAGAAAATAAACAAGCTTTTGTATTGTTATTAGAGATCTACCGAGGTTAGTTTGTCGCTTTAATTAATTAGATAGTCTCAATTATAATTCAGAATTATCTTACTGAAAAGTTAAGAACACCGACGATTGCGCTGTGAATCTCCGAAGCTGCGTTGGATTTGTTGCAACTCCCAGCCCAGTAGCTCCCCACCACAGAGTGTGTGAGCGAGGTATGATTTTGGTTACCAGGCCATGCGCTGTCTAAGCCAATGACATTTTTACAAGTACGATTTTTAGTACGAGTTTCTGGTCAGTTTTCTTCTTATTTCTTTGGTTGCACAACGATTAAAAAGATAACTTCTTCAAATTTGCTGCTGACGTGGTTCAGACTAGATCTTGTCCGATGTGTTTTCAAGTCAATTTTGTTAATATATTTTTTTGTATGAAGTTGCCTACAAATAATGGACGTGCTGTTTTGACTTGCGATTTTTACTGTTTCGGCGTATACGCCGCACCCCGACTTTTTGATATTTTCTCTTCCAAAAATACTGCGGCCTTTACGCCGGCAAATACGGTAAAGGGATTTTACCATGCATCCAATGGAATGGCCGAAAACTGTCGACGGTTGATTACCTCATCCTTTACTCTACTCAATAAGTGAGGTGACATATAAAAGAGCAGGTTTTTTTTTCCATATTTCACAAAGGGGCTCACCCCTAAATTCTAAAAATTTCTTGATAAAAACAGTGATTTAAACATTGTTTCCATGGTAACTCGGAGATTTACCATTTTCACGAAGTAAGCCCCCGAGGGATAAGTTCGGCCAGCTGTAATTGTAAGGAATATATCCATGAGCTTATTTTTTTTCTCTAGTCCCAAGGGATCACGAGCAGTTACAGTTTGAAAATACCCTTTATGTACTTCATGCTTTGCATATCGTGCTGTGCAGCTTTCGAGCTAAAATTATAACTCTGCGTGTACCACTTATTGTCCATTCTGACCAAATTGCTATGAATATTGACTAGATTGAGAGGGGGGGGGGCTGTATCTTTTGAAAGCAGTCAAGAATTTAACCAGAAATGAGAAAAATTGATAAATAAGATTGATCAAGATTACTTACCTTCCAATTTATTTATTATGCCAACCGATATTTCGTTCAATAGGAGGGGGGGGGGGGGTGTCACTTTTTTTGTCACCCTTTAGCCTAACTTTTTTTCTTTTAGGAGGGGGGGGGGGGGAGGTCACTTTTTTTGTCACCCTTCAGCATAATTTTTTCCTTTTAGGGGGGGGGGGGGCGGTGGGGAGTTCTCCAAAATGCACACATAAAAAAAATTGAAGAGGGGGGGGGGGGGTATTGTAAACTAATTGTTGCTAATGATAAGTTAACAACATGCGATTTTCATTATTACAAACACACTGACCTTTTGCTCATTTATACATATGTACATTTATATCATTTTTTTAGACAATTACTTTTGTTCTACCTGCTAAGCTCCACCCCTAAAAAACCCCTCCAAAATCCAATGACTTTTGTGACATCATGCCAGTCATTCATCAGTCGGCTAGATGAACAAAAGACATTGGTATGTCCCTTCCCATCAACTGACCACTTGTTCACAAAAGACAGTGGTAAATGTATGTCCTCACCCACTGAGTACCTTATTGCATTAGCATCAATTGCATGTTTTCATGTAATAGCCCGTTGTAACTCTTCTCACTATGAACATGACTGACAAAGAAAGCGGACAAAATATACAGTTCCTCAGGTAGACAAAGGATCATCCCTTCACTGCTATTATGTACAAATGTGTAGAACAGGTGTCACATGCATATTCACCTTTTTACATAATAGCAGTGAAGGGATGTTCCTTTGTCTACCTGAGGAACTGTATATTTTGTCCGCCTTCTTTGTCGTCATGTTCATAGTGTCTTTTCATGGTGTTGCTTGAGGATTTCTGACATAGCAACTGCTTAAAATGTTATTGAATTTTGTCAGTGAGTAGGCATTGTATACAAACATGCAATGCTACTGTGAACAGGTGGTCAAAAGGCAAAAGATATGTGATTTATGCAATATTACAGATCAACAAAAGTCAACATGAATTTGTAATTAAGTCACCCTTTAAAACGAGATCCGGCAAAGTGGATTCCCCAGAAAAGAAAAAAAGGTCGACCCGTATTGACTTTACACACCAGACTTTTGCTGAAAAAGGCTCGTATAACAAAAGAAAAAGGTCAATCTGTATTGACTTTACACGCCGGACTTTTGCTAAAAAGGGGGGGTCGCTTGGAACACGCATATGCGTACCCTAAATAACACTGAGTGGTGGGGCCGGAGTTGATTCTGCCTGAAATGTAAATATGAACACAAAAGAAGCATTCCGCTGTGCCAATTTGATACTTCTCTTACAATGGAAGGAGATGAGTTAAGAAAATTAGTATACCAAAGTGCTCGTTTGGAATACGCTGACTTAAGTGAATTCCCTGTGCACAGGCATTTTACACTGGGCTTTGATGGCTACCGTGTGTAAGACTGGCTCTACTTGGGGAAAACTCATCAATGTGACATGTTTGCAATCACTTGGTCATATTCTAACATTGCATGACTATTTTTTTCTCAGTTGCAGACAGAATTCAAGTAAAGGTTTCAAAATCACGATTCCGTGTATTTTTCTGTCATTTTTTGCTATTTTTAGGAGTTATTCATTTTGTTAATTAATGATTTTTAAATTATTCTTTTTTACCTTGAGGGTCTCAAGAAATTGCCTTCTGTTGTGGAAATTATGGTAAAATTTGTATCATTATTGGCATGTCTTGTGTTAACCATAAATATATGAATTTTTGATGCAGGTCTTCAATTTCATCAATGGAAAGTGCAAGGCCTCATTCATGATGAAGCGCAACCCGCGTCGCGTCAACTGGACGGTTCTCTACCGCCGCAAGAACAAGAAGGGTTCCCAGGAGGAGATCACCAAGAAGAGGACACGCAGGACCACCAAGTACCAGCGTGCCATCGGTGGATCTTCCCTGGCTGATATCATGGCCAAGAGGAACCAGAAGCCAGAGGCCAGGAAAGCCCAGCGTGAACAGGCCATCAAGTGAGTTGAAGTTTTGTGCAGGGTCTTATAATAAAAAAAGTAATTGTATCTCAATTGAATTCTAATATTGAGAGCATTGGCATTTCCATCAACCTTGCCACAAGCAATAAAAAGGGAGGGGGGTTAGTACTAAGGCTACGACAAGTACTAGCGCTGTTAACATCTACTGGAGTATGATTTAGACAGGCGCCATTTTTTATATTTTTTTCTTCAAGTGTAGATTTGTGCCCCCCCACCTGGCACTGTTCCGCCTGTCGCTCACCCATGCCCAAAAGAGCACCGGCAGGGTACCGTGAGTCGGGGGGAAATTTGTCATCTTTAGTTTTAAAAAGAACATTGTGATGTCACTATTATTGTGATAAGTTCAAAGGCACCAATCGTTCCCTTCAACTGCAACTAGCAGTAAAATCGCGAGTCATGAGTATGAATTCATTAGAAATATTGCCTCTGTTAAGAATTTTTGTTATAGAAATAAAAGAATCATTCTTCGGTGATTCTGAAAGCTATTGGTCTCCGCCAGTGGTTCAGAACCTTTTTATGCCTCCGCCACCGAAGGTGGTGCCGGAGGCATCATGTTTTCGGGTTGTCCGTCCGTACGTCCGTACGTCCGTCCCGTTTGACTGTTATCACAATATCTCAAGAACCATTTAAGATTTAAACTTAAGACTCGGGAATAGTATTTATCACCATAGGAAGACGATCTGATTAGATTTTGGAGTACGTAGGTCAAAGGTCACAGGTCACAGAGGTCAACTTATGAAATTCCTTGTATTGAGTTTGTTGGCGCGATATCTCAACAACCATTTGAGATTTAAACTTCAAACTTAAGGATAGTATGTATCACCATAGGAAGACGATCTGAGTAGATTTTGGAGCATGTATGTCAAAGGTCAAGGGTCACAGAGGTCAACTTATGAAATTCCATACATTGAGATTGTTATCATAATATCTCAAGAACCACTGGAGATTTAAACTTCAAACTTAATGATAGTGTGTATCACCATAGGAAGACAATCTGATTAGATTTTGGAGCACGTAGGTCAAAGGTCAAGGGTCACAGTAGCCTTTTGACAAGGCCTCGTGACTCTAAGCGGCTGAGATGAGTCTAGATACCCGGAGTGAACGCGCGACCGAGTGACGGAACGTCACGAGGCCTTTTGGAAAGTGGGTTTCACTGCTGCGCATGAATTATTCATAGATACATATTAACATGCCAATACGCCTACTTTGGATTTATTGACCAATCAGAACGGCGATCTCCCAGTTGGCCTTAGCACGTACGTAATAGTTCATAGCATGTAGGTCCATGTTCGCACTACGTAGAGTTTACTGTGTGTGTGTGTGTGTGATGGATACTACTATGCTGACGTCGTGCGAGGATACGTTCGCTGATTGAACGCTCCATTTTCTGGAGCGAATTCTAGTCGGAAACAAGGGTTAACATAAGAAATCCAAATCAGATTGATAAAGGCCACTAGGATGGGCTCCTCGCTCTCGCGTTCAATTGGGTTTTCGCGATTAGTCTCGTTTTAGTCGCTCGGCGTTTATCAGACAAGTGGCCTTGTTTAAAGGCTAGGGTCACAGAGGTCAACTTATGAAATTCCATACATTGAGATCGTTATCGCGATATCTCAAGAACCACTGGAGAATTTTCACTTCAAACTTAAAGTAGATATTCATTGATTTTAAAAACTAACTTTATTTTCCTTATTGCAAAGTTGAAACTTTGATTCGACAAGGTTATCAAAATTCAATGCTTGGGAACAATCCAAGTAAAAGATTATTATAAATTACAAAACGCTTAAATACAACCCCGGCATAGCACCTGAGAAGCTCTCCGAACGCTGCTGAGATATGTGAGATCACAGTATGGACATGATTTGCACAAGCAGACGATGTCCCATGACATCTCACACATTTTCAGTGCCTGTGTTTTCATCTTCTCTTAAGTTCTTTCTCTTAGTTCACTACCGTCAGGCTAAATGTATAATTTATTGCCTCACTCTAAACCCTGCGCATGGTTTTATTTTGATGACAAATGCAGCGATACAAAAATAAAGGAATCTGTCGCTTGTAAACAAAATAAGACGCCATTGTATATTCAGCTGCACCCACCGCGGTATGTTCGGCGGTTCAAGAGGGAACAAATGCCGTCCTTAATATCATTCCGGGCGGGTTTCAATTTGAAAGTCTGGTTTTTTTTATTGTTAATTAACCCATATCCTGTGTATTTACAAGCAAAAGATTTTAGTCACCAGAATCGGGGCATATCCACTTTTGAATGGTTTGACATGCCATTACATTTATATACACTAAACTCATTATAATTTGACAAATAATAGCTTTTCAATTATGTTCATTCTTTATGGGATGTCGTCTGCTTGGGCAGTATTGGTCCATATAGTGACGTCATTAAAACATCGTTATTTTTCCGGCGAATCTCTCGCATATCCCAGCTGCTATGGAGGTGGTTGTATTTGTATTTTTATAAATCACCCGATATGTAGTTGACCTAAAACTTGTACGATGGCCATCTGTTAGCTTACCAGTTTCTAGTGATACATTAGTTGACACATTTGTGATTTTCTTTGAATTTCACCTTTAATGATAGTATGTATCACCATATCATAATATCTCAAGAACCACTGGAGATTTAAACTTCAAACTTAATGATAGTGTGTATCACCATAGGAAGACAATCTGATTAGATTTTGGAGCACGTAGGTCAAAGGTCAAGGGTCACAGAGGTCAACTTATGAAATTCCATACATTGAGATTGTTATCATGATATCTCAAGAACCACTGGAGATTTAAACTCCAAACTTGTTTAAATTGCTCTATGGCGGAGGCATCATTTTCGACTGCACGCAGTCAAAATTCCATCTAGTTTTTTTCTCTCTTATTGAGCTCTGGTATAAATTATGGCTTAGATTGACTCGATTGATGGTAGAGTCTGGCATAAATGGGGATCTCCACCCTGAGGGTTCTGAGTAGACAAAATATTCATAGAAGGCATTCAGTAGAAGACGTCTTGTAACTAATGAGCTCTTTGCATTTGTTATTTCAGGGTTGCCAAGGAAAAGACCAAGGCCAAGAAGGCTATGAAGAAGTCTACAGCTCCACCCAAGGTAAGGATTCTATTTCAATCATTTGAATGAAACTAGCTTCAGATATTTGCAGGCTAACACCAATCCAAATTAAAATTAAAAAAAAAGAAGGAAATCTTCACAATGAGTAAGGTATTAATTAACATCCTTGTGAAATATTAGGATCAAATGCATTTTTTAAACAAAAGAAAAAAGAAGATTGTTTAACATAATTTTTTAGACTTGGAATCGTTCGACTAGTAGAAAAAATGTCAAATGTTTTATTTTATTATTTTATTTTTTGTATTGGTAACAATCTCTCTGATGTTTTGTAGGGCAAGCACATGCATTGGGAATCCGTACTCTCTAAATTAAGGCTGCGACGGGGAGTCGATTGCTCGAGTACCCGCACGGTTTACAACTACTCGGGTACAATTTCTCGTACCCGAGTATTCGACCGCAAAAAAAAAAAAAATGTCCAGGCCCACGCTTACCCGTGCCAGGGAGAGCGGCGACCGCTGGCATGGTACCGTCGGTAAAAATGTTTCCCAACTCAAGCACTGTGAAACTCGCCTTTCAGAAACTGGGACCAAATGTCCAGATTTCTGTTTGGACTTGGAGGAAAATGGATTATTCTGCCATCTTTGGTTTTTAAAACAGCATTGTTTACTGTTATTATTCTTATTAAATTGGCGCCTTCAACTGCAACTCAAAGTAAAATTGCATGCGTTTTCGGAGAGGGACCTGGTAAAATGCCGAGTGGTAAGGTAGTGGCAAAAAAAGAAAAAAAATCAAAAAATCAAATTTTTTTTAAAAAAATCAAAATTTAAAAAAAAAATTAAATAAAAAATCAAAAAAATTATAAAAAAACATGGCGTCCGAATATTTGAGTATTCGCTTGTGAGCCTGGGAGTGTACTCGGGTACCTCATTACACTGTTGTGCACAGCCTTACTCTAAATGAGCGAAAGAAAAAACACTTGCCAACAAAATATTGTGTTACTGTTGCTTGCATGGGTTTACCATCTTTATTTGCCATTGATAAGCAGGCAATTTTTTGTTGTTGTTAAAGAAAGCAAAGATTTAGGAGGGGGGGGGGGGTTGGTCAGCGGTAAGCGGAAACTGAGGGATCTATTCATACTATACAAACAACACAAAAAATTTTGTAAAATGTGCAGTTCCATCCTCTTTTAGGCCCTGAAAACCTCAAATCGTCGGGCTTCATATATTGTATTGAATTGAAAGTATGTATGTCGCACTTGCATGTTTAGGTACAGTTGTTTTGTATCTCTTTGTGGTATATGAATAACACCAACTGCTTTCTGTGAGCTAAAAATCTACCCCTTTTCTTCCCCTTTTCTTCCCACTATTCCAGGCGAGGGCAGGCGCCAAAAGCAAGGCACAACAGAAGGTGAAGTCAGCAGCACCACGTATTGGCGGAAAGCGATGAGCACATTGGAGTTGGAGTAAAAAAAAAGTGTACAGGTTGCCGGAGTGAATAAATAATTCCATCTGCAATGCAGTTCACATTTTTGTCATGTTGTTTTCTGTGTAGTAAGCCTTATGGATGGAGTTGTTTGGAGATTTTAGAATGCCACTGTTTACATACGGTAGTACATGTGCATGTATCTAATGTATGCTGGTGATGTGGTTGGAAGTGTTTCATAGAGGACCGGTACTATGGTAGTCATGTACAATTGTTGAGCTTCGACTCTTGTGCCATTGTGTCTGATTTTTGTGTGCTGAAGTGACATTGCATGATACGAAGAAGGGAGATATGTTTTGAAGATGTTATGCCCGATGAACAAAGCCTACACGAGGAGAATTATTTGAACAAGCCATTCTTGTGATGTCTCAACCTGATCTCTAAATATGCGGTGGATTTGATAAAATGGAGTCACGATGTATTGTAAATGTATGGATGTGTTCATAATGACAGGGTGTTTGATTAATGGGATGATGATTGGAATGGCTGTGAAGGGAAATGGGGGGGGGGGGGTGGAGTATGCCCCAATCCCTCCCTTCTCTCACTTTCCTGCAATGGAAGGAAGAAATGGCAAAATTGATGATTATGATAGTGGTGTAATTCATGATGATGGTGCTGATAGATGTATGATTTATTTACAAATATGACAATTTATGATCAATATGGTAATGGTGCTAACAGTGTTAATTATAATGATGGTGATGGTGATGATGGTGATGGTGATGATGGTTGTGATCATGATTGTAGCAACAGTGATACGCATTAGCTCTAAGCAAGTTCTGCAATTCAAGGTTTAGCGTTGATATCTCTCGTTATTACATGACTGTAGCAGAGCCTGCTCATTCCCCTCAACGATGTCCCATTTGTAATGATTATGTAAATCAATGTGCATTAAGCAGGGCTCCCACTTGGCCGAGTTGGAGCCTCGAGTTGTGGTGAGCTGGCGCGATCTTATGGCAAGCCGTGTTATCATTATAACATATTTCTTGATATCAAGAAATAATTGTACGTTGTAAAGCAATGGTAATTCTTGTTATCAAGAAATGTGTTTTAATGATAAAACTGCTTGCCATAAGATCGCACCAGCTCGCCACAACTCGAGGATCCAACTCGGCCAAGTGGGAGCCCTGCTTAACATCTAAATATGAAGCCAAGTCAAAAGTGAAATTTTGCAAAATATATTGTTATCTCAACGTTAAATTCTTCATTGTGTTTAATGGCAACGGTGCATTTTGAAATATTCTGCTTTTGAGTTTGCCCCATATTCAGGTGTATATGTACTACACATTCCATAATCATTATAAATGGGGCATCGTTGTAAAGAAGAATAAACAGGCTTTTCAATTATACTTACATCCAGTATAATAATATAGTAACAAGAGAGATAGCAACGCTCAAACTTGGAATTTCAAAACTGTTTGTGAGGAGTTTAATTGATACTCTTTCTGTCCAAGAGTGCGATAATGTTGATGAACTCACTAGTGCATGGTAAACACAGGGTGGAAGCTCTCACCATGGAGGAACTCGTCTTATGAAGAGAGAGAGAGAGGGGGGGGGGGGGGGGGGGGAGTGAGAGAGAGAGGGGGGGGGGTGAGTGAGAGAAAGAGGGGTGAGTGAGTGAGAGAGAGAGAGGGGGGGGAGAGAGAGAGAGAGAGAGGGGGGTGAGAGAGAGAGAGGGGGGGGGGGGGTGAGTGAGAGAGAGAGGGGGGGGGGGGTGAGTGAGAGAGAGAGAGGGGGGTGAGTGAGAGAGAGAGAAAGAGGGGGGTGAGTGTGAGAGAGAGAGAGGGGGGTGAGTGAGAGAGAGAGAGGGGGGTGAGTGAGAGAGAGAGGGGGGGGGGGGGAGTGAGAGAGAGAGGGGGGGGGGGTGAGTGAAAGAGAGAGGGGGGGTGAGTGAGAGAGAGAGAGAGGGGGGGTGAGTGAGAGAGAGAGAGAGGGGGTGAGTGAGAGAGAGGGGGGGGGTGAGTGAAAGAGAGAGAGAGGGGGGGGGGGGTGAGTGAGAGAGAGAGAGGGGGGTGAGAGAGAGAGAGAGAGAGAGAGAGGGGGGTGAGTGAGAGAGAGAGAGGGGGGTGAGAGAGAGAGAGGGGGGGGGGGGGGAGTGAGAGAGAGAGGGGGGGGGGGTGAGTGAGAGAGAGAGAGGGGGGTGAGTGAGAGAGAGAGAAAGAGGGGGGTGAGTGTGAGAGAGAGAGAGGGGGGTGAGTGAGAGAGAGAGAGGGGGGTGAGTGAGAGAGAGAGGGGGGGGGGGGTGAGTGAGAGAGAGAGGGGGGGGGTGAGTGAAAGAGAGAGGGGGGGTGAGTGAGAGAGAGAGAGAGGGGGGGTGAGTGAGAGAGAGAGAGAGGGGGTGAGTGAGAGAGAGGGGGGGGGGGTGAGTGAAAGAGAGAGAGAGGGGGGGGGGTGAGTGAGAGAGAGAGAGGGGGGTGAGAGAGAGAGAGAGAGAGAGAGAGGGGGGTGAGTGAGAGAGAGAGAGGGGGGTGAGAGAGAGAGAGAGAGAGAGGGGGGTGAGTGAGAGAGAGAGAGGGGGGTGAGAGAGAGAGAGAGAGAGGGGGGTGAGTGAGAGAGAGAGAGGGGGGTGAGTGAGAGAGAGAGGGGGGGGGGTGAGTGAGAGAGAGAGAGGGGGGGTGAGTGAGAGAGAGAGAGAGGGGGGGTGAGTGAGAGAGAGAGAGGGGGTGAGTGAGAGAGAGGGGGGGGGGGTGAGTGAAAGAGAGAGAGGGGGGGTGAGTGAGAGAGAGAGAGGGGGTTGAGAGAGAGAGAGAGAGGGGGGGTGAGTGAGAGAGAGAGAGAGAGAGAGAGGGGGGTGAGTGAGAGAGAGAGGGGGGTGAGAGAGAGAGAGGGGGGGTGAGTGAAAGAGAGAGAGAGAGGGGGGGGGGGTGAGTGAGAAAGAGAGAGAGAGAGGGGGGGGGTGAGTGAGAGAGAGATAAAGAGAAGAGAGAGATAGATAGGAGAAAGAGAGAAGGGGAAGGGAGAGACAGACAGACAAAGAGAAAGAGGAGAGAGAGAGAGACAGACAGAGATAAGAGAGAGAAAGAGAGAGAAGGGGAGGGGAGAGAGAGACAGGCAGAGATAAAGAGGAGAGAGAGAGAGAATGAGATGGGGATGCAGGGGCGGTTGCGGGGAAGAGGGGGGGGGGGGTAAAATATTGAGTGATTACGTAATGGAAATTGAGAATAAGAATTGTGCGTTTAAAGGCCCAATGTACTACTTTTAGCTACTTGCTCCCTCTATATAGAAAACAATGCCTAATTGGTGACCATTGGTCCCCATGATCCTCTTTTTCTTATGTTATTTGAGAGCCGAGTTGATGAGATAGCCACCTGTCAGTGACCTTCCTGGGTGGTCTAATCCCTCCTAGCCAAACTAGTACAGATGGGCTTTAAAACTCAGAAGTAGGCACAAAGTTGTCATTTTGTCTCATGTAATTTCAAAGACAACGTTTACAAATTATTTTGTCAGAGGAATAATCACAATATTTTGAGTTGCCTCGATCTATTCATCATTATCACCGAGAACATCATTCAGCAACAAAAGAACAATATTTATTTTCTCAAATAATTTCTTAAAGGAATTCGGTATCTTTGCCTCAGATATTAAACAAAAATCCTGGATTCAACTCATGCTGCAATCATGATTATAAAAGTTTAGGTCGGTCAGGGATCCAGTGATTTTTACAAGCCGATCGCCTGTCTGATTATCAAGATATTATGATCAGAAATCGAAATCTCAAAAACCGTTTTCCAATTGGTTATTATAACACTACAGTCTATTGGGAAAACGAGTATGTTAAAACAGTACACTCGATTTTTACTTTTTTGAAGCACTTCATATATTGTATTGTATTATATATTTATATAACCTTGAGGGGTATATCAGAAATATTGACCAAGCTCAGATCATATTGCCCCGAGTCGAAAGACGAGGGCAATATGGTCTTAGCGCGGTCAATATTTCTGATATCCCCCGAAAGTAAAGCCAGTCAATATTTTTATTGTTATCCAAATCAGACATCTAGAGCAAATACAGACATCCACCATGACAATCTCAAGAACTGAACAAACTTTGTCAAACCAACACTATGCATCCAGTGCTTGAATTTTTTTTCGATACACTGCAAACAGTGTGTATTTGGTGTGATTATTACGTCACAATAGAGTGCGCGCAAAGTGCGTAGGTTCTCGTACGCATTAGATGCGCAATGAAAATGCGACGCGGTCAATACAAGATGCTCGGATGCGAGACCGTGGAAAATACCAAGGTATATTTTCACTCGTCTCTTCACGCAAAGTCAATACGCGCAGGGAGACCAAGGAAAATACAAAGAATATACCCCTCCGTTCCCACTGCTAGTGAAAACTAGGGCAATACGGTTTTGTAAATGACCAGCTCAGATGTCTGATACGGGTAATAATTATATAATATTGACTGGCCTTGAGGGGTATATCAGAAATATTGACCAAGCTCAGATCATATTGCCCCGAGTCGAAAGACGAGGGCAATATGGTCTTAGCGCGGTCAATATTCCTGATATCCCCCGAAAGTAAAGCCAGTCAAGATTTTTATTGTTATCCAAATCAGACATCTAGAGCAAATACAGACATCCACCATGACAATCTCAAGAACTGAACAAACTTTGTCAAACCAACACTGTGAATCCAGTGCTTGACAAAATTTTCGATACACTACAAACAGTGTGTATTTGGTGTGATTATTACGTCACAATAGAGTGCGCGCAAAGAGCGCAGGTTCTCGTACGCATAATATTAATAGATGCGCAATGAAAATGCGAGACCGTAGAAAATACCAAGGTATATTTTCACTCTTCTCTACACGCAAAGTCAATACGCGCAGGGAGACCAAGGAAAATACAAAGAATATACCCCTCCGTTCCCACTGCTAGTGAAAACTAGGGCAATACGGTTTTGTAAATGACCAGCTCAGATGTCTGATACGGGTAATAATAAACTTTATTGTTGTACTGTACATCAATATTGATAATTCTGAAGCGCAATTTGTTTAGGGCTTCAATATTACACCATATCACAGACACTGCTGCCACGTAGGGCCATGCATCTCATGATCTCAGATTAAATATTGTTAAACAATGCCTTTAAGCAACTCCAAAATTAATGCTCACACTGCTTGGTATAGGTAAAGGGGGGGGGGGGGGGGAGGGGGGGGGGGGTAAGAGGACACTTTTTTTTTTTGGGGGGGGGGGTCTCGAAATTTGAAAATTTGACATTTTGTTCCGTTGGGGGGGGGGGGTAAGGTCACCTTTTTTAGGTCAGCCATTGGCAATTTTTTTTTTTTTTTTTTTTATTACAAAAAACAAAAAACAAAAGGGGGGGGGGGATTCACAAAAATCATACATATAAAACAAAAATCAAGGGGGGGGGGTTAACCCAAACCCCCCCCCCCCCCCCCCCCCCTGCGTACGCGCCTGATGTACATACATTTGTGAATTTTTAAAGTGTAATGAGTTTGAATAAATTCAACAAAAAACATCAACAACATAAACAGATAGTTTTAAAGATATGAAAAAGTATAATCAATGACCTGTACGGTGGGGGGGGGGGGGGGCGGCTGAATAATGTTTTGTGTCGCAGTAGGACGATGCGGTTGAAGCGTCTAACCATGCTACCGACGTGGGGTCCAGGGGTACGCCCCCGGCCATCAGCCTTGAATTATCAGCTTTCGTCTGACTCATGTGCTTTTATAATTATGGTGTCTCACATTAGAGACGTGGACAAAATGGCTAGTTCGTTCTTTGGTGAAATATGGTCTTCCAAAGGAAAACCTTTTTACTCTTTTTGTCGGTTTTATTCGCCCCTTACTTGAATAGCCTATGCTAGTCCTGTTTGGAATAGAGGACTCACTTAAAATCGATACGAGAGATTGGTGAGAATACAAAAAAGAGCGTTTTCGTAGGGATTATAATGACTATAAAAATGCACTTGATGAATCTGAACTCCGACCATTCAAGGTAATACAAAGTTTTGGTCTGGGGTCATGGATTGGTTCAAATGAACATATTCGAAGCATATGTGATTCTACAATATTCAGTGATCGTTGTCGCGGTTGAAATCGAGTCTAAAGTTATGAAATTGTAAATAATAAATTATGTTGTATAATTATGTTGTATAAATTATGTTGTATAGCTCCTTCTCAAGGCCAATATTAATTGAGCTATAAAAAAATGTCTCTTGACTAAAATCGACCGAATTGCTATTCCCGTTTGAAAATTATATATCACAACTACATATTCTGAGATTTTCATTGTCGCAGCTACCATTGTACGACCGTAGGCGCTATTTGAAATTTATCAAAATCTAAAGGGAGCACCGGTAAATTTGGATATTCAATTTTACTCGAATTTGACAGTGTTTTAGGGGCTAAATTTCTAGTGCTTATAATACATCCTCAAGGGCATCCAAATATATCAAAAATGTAAAGAATCACTATCCACCCATTTTTCAAAATTTTCCCAAAAGTTTGAATTATACCTTTAAGACAAAAGATGCAAAGAATTATGTGTAACGTTCTTTAAAAAAATCATTTTCACTCACTGATCAATTTAAACAATTTCTCCCACATAAACAATGTACTAGAACACTTAATGATTTAAAGAAAATTCCGAATTTTAAATTTAAAACAAGTCACAAAATAGTCATATTCATTCATTCAGTCATTCATACCAAATTCAATTCGCCTGTATACTAAAACTTAATCATACAAGTATGCTCGTGTTTATATTCATCCTAATAATTTATCATTTTAATGTCTTGATTTATGTACATCCTTTTAATGATGTAGTACATTGTACCAATATGTTTGAATGATTTAGTACATTGTACCAATATGTTTTAATGATATTTAATTGCTATTTGAACTTTTGAATTTGTATAATTATTTCAAATACCACTATACTCACAAATGCAATATTGAAATATGAAGAACTGATAAGATATCAATTCTCTTAGTCAATATGTTAGCATATAGTTATGTTTATACATTTTATTTTTGAAATTATGTTCATCAACTGTTTTTCAATGGTTTATGGTATATATAGGCAGTAGCAACATGACAATTAAAACAAAAATAACTAAATGTTCCGTAATTTTTACAATGTATATATTTTCATTTTGTGTAATTCATGTGCAATTCAGTTGTGGAACTGTCATTCATGAACGCTGCAATGAAATATCATTTATCTATTTATCTTTCTAAGTACTCTGATATATTTGATCGCAAATTTGCACATGGATATAACAACAAAATTCGGGCAGGCTGTTTTATCTTGGGGATATTACCACTTTGATATTTATTTTATTTTGACTTTACATGCCTGCCCATAAAAGATATGCAGATTTGTCGGATCTAGGCCCACTGTAACAGTGATATGACCAAGAGGAACAAAATTTTTATAATGACAATTCATTCTACACCGGCACGTACCGTATTAGTATTATCACGCCCATAAGGCGCAGTGCGCGCATTGCCTAAGTCTTTGTTAAGTCACAATTGAATGCGCCGAAGTGCACATGCGCACACATACCATGTCAACGCAATTTCACAACAAATATCATTGGCACATTATAGCTATTCCTATACATACATTCGAGGCAGCAAGTCAAGAATCTAGCTGATAAAGAAAATCTTCTGCAAGAAACAACAGGAAACAAATTTCAGTATGGGCGGAAAGAAAAGAGAGCCAAAGAAAAAATTGCCTCCACTTAAAGGAAGGAAACCCCGCCCCACTACTCCACGTCCTGAGCCTCGACGTGAGATAACTGATGATGAAATTGACGTGTATAAAAGCAATATACAACAGATACATCGGGATTGTAAGGGCACTTTTATTACTTGATTATTATAACCCTGGTTTAACACATTCGCGAATATCTTAGCTTGTTCATTTAATTTGTCTTTATATGATGTTACGGAGTGGGATGAATAATTATGATGTTTTTGTTTGATGGTGGTACTACTTTATTCAATAGATAGCGAATTGGGAGGATGGGGGGGGGGGTGTTGCTTACACTCTCGCCCCGAAGAAATTGATATTCTTTTAATTCGGCGAGGGGTGGGTCATATGTATCCCCGGTGAAGCTGTATTACTCTTCTTTCTATGACAGTCCGTTCTTTGCATATTAAAAACTTAATAAGGGCTCTATTAAATACGAGATGACCATTGGCTAAAACTCATTTTTAACTTTTTTGTTTGTTAACAAAACAAAAAAATACTGGGTTAAAACTGCCTAATACGAAAGTTGGTATGTGTCCGACTTATCTCGGAACTTCGTCAGACCCAACTTGTTTGATTTCTCCTGAATTTGTAGTAAAAAGTGATCGCGATTGGCCAAATTTAAGAATTATTCATATTGTGTATAAGAGTGCCCCGAAATTAGTTTGACACATGACTGCCCCCATGTTATTGTTAAAGCATTATTATGTTAATACATTTTTGTTTTCAGAGGGGGGAGAGCGAGAGAGAGAGAGAAAGAGAAAGAGAAAGAGCGAAAACTGCATATAATGTAGGCAGAGAGAAGGAGAGAGAGAGAGAGAAAAAAAAAGAGATCTAGATAGAGAAAGAGAGAAAGATGGATGGAGAGAGAGAGAGAGAGAGAGAAAGCTGTATATAGACAGAAAGAGAGGAAGAGAAGACAAAAATATGCTTAAATTAAATGCTTTATGTGCACAGAGAGAGAGAGAGAAAAAAAAAGAGGGCGGAGGGGGGGGGGGGGGGTACGGATTATATATAAAATAATGTCCAGCTTATTAATGGTCTATTTATTGATTTAGTAGTCAAAGTTCAAAGGCGCCTTGGTAACATTTTTCAGATGACAGATAGTGGTGTTAAGGTTGTGACTTCAATGCTAGACGTGAAAATAATCTGAAAATTTGAGTGAAAACGGAACATTATTCATGGTTCAAATTGGGAAAAACTGATCTGATCGATTCCTTAATTCCCCTAACTATATTATTATTATTTAATTACATTTTAGGTAAATAGAAATCGTCACAAAGCAATAAAATAGCTTTACATTCCATTCCAGACATTTAAGTGTTGACAGATTTTTTTATAGCCTGTTTTATGTCTTTTTTCATAATAAAACGGTTGGGAAAATTCAAAAATGGTTGGGAGAATTTACTGTTAATCACTGTTAGAGGGTGTCATACATCGACTCCTACAAAGAAAACCATAGATATCTTAGTGGTTTGAGAATTTTTTTCAGGATTTTTTGCATGTCAGAGGGTTAGTACAGTAGAAAGAATATAGTAAGTAACATTTTATACAAAAATTAAGCAATTTTTTTTCATCAACCTTCAACAATGTTACCAAGACACTTTAAGCATTTAAATTTCTACCATAAATGGGTGCATAAAACACAATTTACTCATATGGGTCTGATTATCGAACAAACCACAAATACTAATGATGATGATAAGAAAAATAATCATGTGGAGCATTAATATATAGGCCTTTATATACAGTCCCAATTCTTTGTAAATACACAAACGTCGTGTTTCCAGACGTCCAGGTTGGTAATCCGGACAGCTGTTTTAAATCAGTAATGTGAAGAAGTTTACAAACAATTTCCGTAAACCTTTTTACGACGGAACCATTTACGACGGAAATATCTGGTTGATGCAAAATTTTCAAAAGTGTCTGCTTTATTTTTGTTAAGCGTTCGGACACACAACACCCAACATAATTTTGTTAAGTCAATTACAAATGGGAAAGCATATGACACAGATGATCGTAAAAGCTTTACAAAATGAAATATATTATGACATAACAAAGGCATTACGTAATCCGAACAAGGTTTCCGAAGGCAACCTAATAGGCTAGTGAACCTTTCCTATATAATTTGATTTCTTGAAAGTCTTTCTAATTTTGTTTATACGGAACAAAATGTTTATTACTATTATCTCGTTTCCTCAACCCTTCAAGATGGGGAGCTACTCGAAGAAGAATATGAGATGGTGCATCCACGGAAAGAGCGTGAAGCTCCACTGCCACCTGTGCCGTCAGCACCAATCGTCTCACAGAACAACGCCCCCATGACCCCTGAAACCGTGGCGCCTCAAGCAAGCGCTACCACTACTACCTCCACCTTCGTCACTACCACGCCCTTGCAGCAACCGCCTCTTGGACCACGCCCACCCACCGGCCCCAAGAAGAATAATATGCGCAATCGTGGACGTCCAGTAGACTGGAAACGAAACTCTGGCATGGTAGGTTCAAGGTTTTAAAATAAATATCAAAGTCAAAATAAAGATCAAGTTATATCCATACAAAACATGAAAAATGCAACAAACCGCAAACGGAAAAAATGGTACAATGAAGATAACTTTATAACACAGGACAACTGAATATTAAAGTAACATCAAATGAATTATAATTATAGTATGTATACACAAGTTGTTCTTATATGTAAAGATACAGTTTATTAAAACTTTACAAGCATGCAGAGAATCTGTCGGGGATAATAAGGTCAATCCCCATTCTTATGATGTGACCTTTTAGGCAGTTGCCTCTTTTTTTAGAATGGATTCTTATTATGCATGGTTTACTCGAAACCTAGCGGTCCATAATAGTAATACCCCAAGCAGGATAACACTCATGTACATTAACGAGAATGGAAGGAAGAGGCTGACTCTTAGCGTTCCATATATAAAATGCCCACCCGAAACCACTTGCTTGGCCAAGGTCTAAAACTTGTCTAAACTTAGTCCGCTTAATCATTATTTTTGTGAAGGTGGATATCAGTCCGGAGAAACCGGAACTGATTTCCTTTGATGTGCCTCAAGTTCTGGCACCACGCCCTCCGGTACTGGCACCACGCCCTCCAACATCAAAACCAGACGGCAACCGCAAACACGCCAATCTGGCACCACGCCATCCGACATCAAAACCAGACGGCAACCGCAGACACGCCAATCTGGCACCACGCCATCCAACATCAAAACCAGACGGCAACCGCAGACACGCCAATCTGGCACCACGCCCTCCAACATCAAAACCAGACGGCAACCGCAAACACGCCAATCTGGCACCACGCCCTCCAACATCAAAACCAGACGGCAACCGCAGACACGCCAATCTGGCACCACGCCCTCCAACATCAAAACCAGACGGCAACCGCAAACACGCCAATCTGGCACCACGCCATCCAACATCAAAACCAGACGGCAACCGCAGACACGCCAATCCGGCACTATAATGTGGGGTTGTTTAGCTGTATGGTTAGTACTCAAATGAAGACACATAGAGAAACATCAGAGTGAAGTTGCAATCCAGCATGACTGGTTATATTGTGTATATAAGAGCCCATACACCACAGTGTACATTAACTGTGTGTATGTGTGTATAGCATGTAGCATTGAGTCAATGTATTAGATCACATATTACATCCCCCTTACAGAACAATAACTGAGTCCATAATGTTCAAACTTGAAGTATCCAAAGATGAAGTCCTATCAATAAGTCAATTTTTCTGGCTTCTTGATTACCCGGCCACTGCGGGTGGTCTGCTGGTGGTTGGGGATTGGGACAGGGTTTGGGGCAGGGTTTGGGGCAGGGGTTGGGGCAGGAGAACCTCTGATGACCGGCGTTGGATCAAGCGTCATCTCTTCGCGTGTACGAGGATCGGGTGTCTTGGTTACCTCCTCATCATGATGGATACGCCTGGGCTCAATATCAGCGAGGTGTTGCCGGTTTCTGCGTAGCACCCTTCCATTAGGCGTCTCGACGAGATATGACCTAGGCTCATGGCATTGCTCACGAACAGTAGCTGTTATCCAGTGACGTGATGTCTGGTCTTGGACTCTCACAAGCTGCCCAGGTGAGAGTGGTGCTAGGTCATGGGCTGATTTGTCGTGATGATACTTCTGGCTCTGCTGTCGAAGCTGCATACGATGGTTAACATCATCACGACCAGGGGAGTTGTTGCGGATTCGAGTTGGTAAGTTGTCCTTCATCTTCCTCCCGTAAAGAAGCTCAGCTGGGCTTGGTATGCGGCTGTCAATTGGAGTGGCACGGATACATAGTAGAGCCATGTTGGGGTCGATACCACTCACTTTAGCTTTCTTGAGCGTATTCTTGACAGTTTGAATCATTCGCTCAATGAAGCCATTTGACCTGGGGTAGTGGGGAGAGGATGTAACATGGCTGAATCCCCACTGTGTAGCAAAGTCACTGTATGTTGAGGAGTCAAAATGTCTTCCGTTGTCGCTAACGATTCTTTCTGGAACTCCTTGTTCTGCGAACACCTGACGGGTCGCATTGACTACTGCAGCACTGGTACACTCTTGAGGCATTTTCCGGATGAAAGGAAACTTTGAGAAGTAATCTGCAATGATGAGATAATTGTTCCCTTCAAAGTGAAATAAGTCTGTACCTAAGACTTGCCAGGATCGTGTAGGTATCTCGTGCTGGAGAAGAGTCTCATGGGGCTGCGAGGGTTTGTACTCTTGGCAGACTGAGCAGCCTTTCACCAGGACCTCGATATCGTCATTGATTGATTCCCAGTACACAGAAGCCTTAGCCCGAAGTCGTGTCTTCTCGATACCTTGATGACCTTCGTGAAGCTTGCTCAGTATGTACTCCCTCATGGAGTGTGGAATAAGGATTCGTTCACCATTCAGGATCAGTCCATCCTCAACTGCAAGTTGATCTCGAAAGGCCCAGTATCTCTGCAGCTGCCGTGGTAGCTCACGTCTCTTCTCTGGCCACCCTTTCACAATCACCTTCTGTAGTGCTGCAAACTCTGCATTCTTGGCTGTTTCCTCCTTCAACTGACTCAACCGGTCTGGAGCAAACTGTACAAAGTTGATTTGCAGGTCAAGGTGGATGTGTTCTGGAGGACCAAGAGGACGTCTGGATAGGCAGTCAGCTACTGGTACATCCTTACCAGGCTTGTAGACAATTGTCAGCTTGTATGGCTGTAGACGAAGGAGCATACGCTGGAGTCTAGGTGGGGCCGCTGCCAGGTGCTTATGCTGGATCATCTCCAGGGGCTTGTGGTCCGTCTCAACTATGAAACTTTTCCCGTACAGGAAGATGTGGAATCGTTCACAGCCGAAGACCACTGCAAGCAGCTCTCGCTCTATGTTGGCGTACCTCGTCTCTGCATCACTGAGGGCCTTTGATGCAAACGCGATACCCTTTCCATCCTGCAGTAGAGTCGCTCCCAAGCCCTGCAGAGAAGCATCTACCTGCAGTACCGTAGGCTTGTTAACATCGAAATACGCCCGAGTTGCATCGTGACATACCTTGTCACGTAAATCATTGAAGGCAGACTGGTGCGTTGGAGTCCATTGGAATTCAGCGTCCTGCTTCAAAAGACCACGTAGGCTTGCAGTCTGGGCTGAAAGATTTGGTATGAATGGGCTAAGGTAGGTTATCATACCAAGGAACTCACGAAGCTGGCTCTTGTTCTCAGGTGGAGACATTGACTTGATTGCCTCGACCTTGTGAGGATCCGGATGGACGCCATCTGCATCGTAGATCATACCGAAGAAGGAAATCTGGTTGACCTTGATGCTGCACTTGCCACTGTTGAACTGCAGACCGTACTTCACAGCTTTGGACATGAGGTGGTGCAGATTCCGATCGTGCTCTGCTTCACTCTTGCCGAACACAACAATATCGTCAGCGATCCCTATTGTGCCGGGGCAACCTTCGAGGATTTCGTCCATTCGCTGCTGGAATACATCCTGAGACATTGCTAGACCAAAAGGCATCCTGAGATATATCCCACCGCTGCCACCATATAATGTGGGGTTGTTTAGCTGTATGGTTAGTACTCAAATGAAGACACATAGAGAAACATCAGAGTGAAGTTGCAATCCAGCATGACTGGTTATATTGTGTATATAAGAGCCCATACACCACAGTGTACATTAACTGTGTGTATGTGTGTATAGCATGTAGCATTGTGTATAGCATGTAACTTTGTACAGTTTGCTCCAGACCGGTTGAGTCAGTTGAAGGAGGAAACAGCCAAGAATGCAGAGTTTGCAATCCAGCATGACTGGTTATATTGTGTATATAAGAGCCCATACACCACAGTGTACATTAACTGTGTGTATGTGTGTATAGCATGTAGCATTGAGTCAATGTATTAGATCACATATTACAGGCACCACGCCCTCCAACATCAAAACTAGACGGCAACAGCAGACACACCACCAACAAGTTCCATAGAACAACTCAAAAGAGCGCCAGGCAACGTCAGAAAACAAAACCTTCAGGTATGACAATGTCATTGAGAATAAGTGACGGATAGGATGCTAACTATATTAAAGGGAAAAACACACACACAAAAGACTTGGGGAGGGGGGAAGAAAAGAAAGATGAAGAAGAACAAAAAAGAGCGCAAAAAAAAAAAGATTATGAAATAGGCAACACGTTTAAAAATTATTTTAAACAACTAAAATTTCCATAGAAAATGCAAATCAATTTTCATTAAACTTATATCGAAGTTTGGTGTCGTGGTAGAAATATCATTATTGCCAATTTGAAGAAGAAAATATGATTTATTTTAACCCTCTGCAAAAAAACAACATCCCTTGATATTTAATGGATATGTATACTAGATTTTAATGATTAACCATCCTTTCGATTTGCAGACGCACAGACAGTCCAGCAGTCTCGTGCGATGAAGTCTCACCCTCCTGCACAACCCAAACATGATCGTCTTCTCTTCAAGCGTCCTCAAATCAGCAACACCGAAATGATCTATCCCACCATCGATCACGGTAAGATCATGGGCCAACAGGATGACCAATCTGTCGAGGAGGAGACCTACGACTACATGCATGGCGAAGAGATCTTCATCTTCGACATGGACCTTGGTGAGGATGACGACGCCATGAATGATGGCAAGAAGCCTGCTAAAGCCACTTGCGAGGCTTCCCGCGCACCAATCGTCTCACAGAACAACGCCCCCATGACCCCTGAAACCGTGGCGCCTCAAGCAAGCGCTACCACTACTGCCTCCACCTTCGTCACCACCACGCCCTTGCAGCAACCGCCTCTTGGACCACGCCCACCCACCGGCCCCAAGAAGAATAATATACGCAATCGTGGACGTCCAGTAGACTGGAAACGAAAGTCTGGCATGGTAGGTTCAAGATTTTAAAATAAATATCAAAGTCAAAATAAAGATCAAGTTATATCCATACAAAACATGGAAAATGCAACAAACCGCAAACGGAAAAAAATGTACAATGAAGATAACTTTATAACACAGGACAACTAAATATTAAAGTAACATCAAATTAATTATAATTATAGTATGTATACACAAGTTGTTCGATATGTAAAGATACAGTTTATTAAAACTTTACAAGCATGCAGAGAATCTGTCGGGGATAATAAGGTCAATCCCCATTCTTATGATGTGACCTCTTAGGCAGTTGCCTCTTTTTTTTAGAATGGATTCTTATTATGCATGGTTTACTCGAAACCTAGCGGTCCATAATAGTAATACCCCAAGCAGGATAACACTCATGTACATTAACGAGAATGGAAGGAAGAGGCTGACTCTTAGCGTTCCATATATAAAAAGCCCACCCGAAACCGATTGCTTGGACAAGGTCTAAAACTTGTCTAAACTTAGTCCGCTTAATCATTATTTTTGTGAAGGTGGATATCAGTCCGGAGAAACCGGAACTGATTTCCTTTGATGTGCCTCCAGTTCTGGCACCACGCCCTCCAGTTCAGGCACCACGCCCTCCGGTACTGGCATCACGCCCTCCAACATCAAAACCAGACGGCAACCGCAGACACGCCAATCTGGCACCACGCCCTCCAACATCAAAACCAGACGGCAACTGCAGACACGCCAATCTGGCACCACGCCCTCCAACATCAAAACCAGACAGCAACCGCAAACACGCCAATCTGGCACCACGCCCTCCAACATCAAAACCAGACGGCAACCGCAGACACGCCAATCTGGCACCACGCCCTCCAACATCAAAACCAGACGGCAACCGCAAACACGCCAATCTGGCACCACGCCATCCAACATCAAAACCAGACGGCAACCGCAGACACGCCAATCCGGCACCACGCCCTTCAACATCAAAACCAGACGGCAACAGCAGATACACCACCAACAAGTTCCATAGAACAACTCAAAAGAGCGCCAGGCAACGTCAGAAAACAAAACCTTCAGGTATGACAATGTCATTGAGAATAAGTGACGGATAGGAT